GCTTCGGCTTTAGGGTTTTAGGGTTTGGGGTTTAGGGTTTAGGGTCTAGGGTTTTCGGGGGTTTAACCAGTGTCTGGTCAGACATCTGTCCGTCACCGGAAGGCTTCAGACCTTGTTTCCTGTCAAGAGACGGCTTAGGGTTTAGGGCCAGCGATGCTTGGGGTTCGTCAGGACCTTTCGCATCCTAAGTCCCAGAACTGCCCAAACTGTTTCCTCAAACCTTCGCCGAAACCTTCGACCCCTCACCCCTAACCCTAAACCCTGATACCCTAATAGCCTAATACGCTGCATGCATCTAAGAGACTTCTGGACAGAGTCCACTCCGGAGGCCTCTATGCAGTTTTGAAGAGCTCCATGGAGAACCAACTCCAATACCTCGGGGGTTTAGGGTTTAGGGTTTAGGAAGCTCCATGGAGAACCAACTCCAATACCTCGGGTAGAGCCGGGATAGGACGGCATGGGGTTCCTTGAAGGGCTCAAAGAAAGAAAATCTGTAAGGCTTTGTGAGATTTTCATGAAGTGTTAGGGGTTTAGGGTTTAGGGTTTTCGGGCTCTGTGAAGCTTTATGAGATGGGATTATCCACAGTCTCCAATGTAGTTCTTGTTGAACGACACCTGGGCTTTTTGGTATTGGCTCCTAGCTCCTTAGGTCGGGTCCACCAATGCAGTGATTAGGTTGGAGACTTCTCGATACCTAAACCCTAAACCCCTAATCCCTAAACCCTAAACCCTAAAACCCTTAACCCTACACCCGAAACCTAAAACCCTAAACCCGAAACCGTCGTCCTAGATGCTGTCCAAAGGTAGAGGCTTTTCAAGGCTTGAAGGCTTTAGGGCTTAGGCATCGGTTTAGGGTTTAGGGTTTGGGCTTAAGTTAAAGCCTATGTCAATGTAGGCTTTAGGGCCCTTGTGCTCCCTGTTGTTGCCTCGCTGCTTTGGCAGATGAGCCGGGTCATTGACGTGCTGCTGCTTCAAGTCCAAAGTACGTAGGACGACAAGGGATAGCTAAATACCTGCATGGCTATGGAAAGATAACCCAAACCCCTAAACCCTAAACCCTAAACCCTAAACCCTGAACCCTAAATCTTAACCCCTAAACCCCCTTAACCCTAAACCCTAAAACCCTAAACCCTAAACCCTAAACCCTGAACCCTAAAACCCTAAAACCCTAACCTCAACCGAAAAGGCCCTCAGCCAGCCAAGGCCAAACACCCAAACCCCTTCGACTCCCAACCTCAACTCCGCACTCAGGAGCTTGAGGGTTTAGGGTTTAGGGTTTAGGGGTTTAGGGTTTAGGGGTTTACGATTTAGGGGTTTAGGGTTTAGGGTTTAGGGGTTTAGAGGTTTAGGGGTTTAGGGGTTTAAGGGTTTAGGGGTTTAGAGAAGATTCTTGGAGAGAGCCCTTAAATATGAGAAGTTAGACCTTTTTAGCAGGGACGTTCAATTTCAAGCAGCTGTAAATATGTTGTTCCTCCTAATGCCCGCCTTAACCCAATAAAACCGACCCTTTGTGGCTTCTTTATAGACGTCCTTGAACAGATGAGTACTTGACTTTGGGGCTACAGCAAACCCTGTGCCCTAAACCCTCAAATTTCCGCAGCCTGTAGATGCCAAAGGCCGGCAACAGCGCCAGCGGCACCTGTGACTGGATATCTTCTCCGAAGACCACCTGCAGGACATATCCGGTCGTGGGGTTGGGTCTCGTAATTTCGGTTTCATAAACTGCGGAAGAAAGGCCTTCTAATACTAAGACTTAGTTGTAAGAAATTTAGGGGGTTGAACATGACAAACGAAAAGCAAGTCCTGGATGGGTTTAGGGTTTAGGGTTTAGGGACTACAAGAGCAGGCTATTGCTAATGCTTTTCCGTGTGCGAGCTCACTTGCCTGTAAAGTAACGTACTGGGCTGTCAGCATGACCAGGTTTGTACAGAGGCATGGTTTCAAAAGCCACAGTAGCCCACCATGTAGGTAACTCCTAAACCCTCAACCCTAAACCCTATTTCTCTGTAAAAACCATTAGCCTGGGCCACGATCGCGCACCAGGCTGCGATGGCGGACACCACGAGAAACGCGCCAAAGACCTGGGCTTAGGGCTTGGGGTTTAGTCTGGGTTCTGATAGGGGGATTTTAATTTATTCAAGTTTCCATGATGAGGAATCCCTATGATTTACTATAGATCCCCATTATGGTAACTGTAACTTAATTAAATTAAATCCCTTAACAATAACCCAGGTTTCGTCAATAAGGCCCTCGAGGCTCCGGGTACGAAGTGCGGGCGTTCGGAGTTTGGTTTTGGACTGCAACAGACATATATAGGTAGTTCTCCAAATTAGGGTCCCCTTTCTGGGGGCCCTCTTTGTAAGGTAGGGTTTGGGGTTTGGGGTTTAGCGGGTTAGGGTATAGGGTTTAGGGTTTATATGGGTTGGGGTTTAGGGTTTCGGGGTTTAGGGTTTAGGCCTCCAGGGGCGTTAGTTCATGCTGCCAAATGTATATCCCAAAGCCTACTCCGATGTCCCTAAACCCTATAAAGCCCTGAGCGATAAACTTCAATCCGACGTCCCAATGAAACCCTAAGCCCTCAACGCAAAACTCCAAAAAATTCACAAACCCTAAACCCTGCACCCGATAACCTACATCCCTGAACCCTACAACCTATAAGCTAGTTAGAAGCCTTAAACCCTATAAAATACCTAAACCCTGTGTGCCCCCTATGAACCCTATAACCTTCAGAACCCCGAAAAAAAAGTAAACCCCATACATAGACTAAACCCCAAGCCCTAAACCCTAAACCCCAAACCCCTAAACCCTAATCTCTGAACCCTAAACCCCAAACCCCAAACCCCAAACCCTAAAACCTAAACCCCTGAACTCTAAAAATCCTCATTCAGTCGAGGTCGCCGGCCGCCTCGCTGGCGACGGCGCGAAGTCTGCGCCCACGGCTGCCGCGACCAAGGCCGCAGGGGCGGCCGCAGGAGGAGAGGAGGGAGCCATTTGGGTTTAGGGGTCTTTGGGTTTGGGGATTAGGGTTTAGAGTTTTAGGGTTTTACGGTGCGGGTCGGGGCAGTATTCGGGTTTAGGGTTTTGGAGTTTTGGGGCTTGGGGTTTTTCGGGGTCTGGGTAGAGTGTTTAGGGGTTTAAGGGTCGGGGGTCGGTTTTAAGCGTAAGTGTCGGGTTCAAGTTAAAGTGAGGGCTGGTGCAGGGTATTTCGAATTACAGCGGTTCCTGTCACTTGTCCTGGGGCCTCGGGTTTAAGGCTTATAAGGATTAGGGCTTAGTGGGGAGGTGAGGGTCTAGGGTCGCTGTTGGATTTGGGGGTGATTGTTTCAGGAGTTTAGGGCTTCAAGTTCAACTTTAGGGTTCTGTGCTGAGTTTCCGGTGGCGATTCTGGGGTATAGCAAGTCCTAAACCCTATAAACCTTGAACATAAACATCAAGCTTGCGCGTCGGCGACTGTAGGAGTTCAGACAGCTTTTGATTTTGGAAGTTGGAGGCATGGGGTAAGCCACAAGATTGGGCTCATCAAGGTTTTTCATTATGGGTTGGGGCGTGGGAAGAAGTAGGGCGAAGACATAGTATTC